GGATGTCAGAGGAGAACCTACAATCATGCTTTACTAAATCAGCATGGCCCTCACAAATTTTTAAGACCTAGTTGAGCAAATTCTTTGAAGTAGAAATTAGAACTGTCATTGATGAATGTGTAAATGTATACAAATACTGCAGAGGAGAGCCCAATATTGTCAGTCAGAAGTACTGCTGTCATTCCCACCAAGTTTGCCTTTTTGCCCCTTATTGAGTTATATTTTATAAAATCCCACAAAACTGTACATATTTAAGGAATACCACATGATTTTCATACATATATGCATTGTGCATATTTAAAAGAAGGTGAATACCTCTGTGCCCTACATTTGTTATTTCTTGATGGTGGCTAAGAGCCCTGACTGCTCTTCCAGAGGGCTTAGGTCTGATTATCAGAATGCACATGATACCTCACATTCATTTGTAGGGCCATATCCAGGGCATCTGATGCTCTCTTTTGGCCTCTATAGACACCAGACATGCATGGTGTATATGGACATACATGCAGGAAAGACACCATACTCATAAAATAAAATAATAATAAAAATAAATAAAGAGAAACTGAAACACATTCCCCAAATGCAAAGAAAAGTACTAATAGAATTACTGAGAGATGATTCCAGTTTTTCAGTTTAACCGATACCAACATATTTATCTCATTTCTTAACTAGATTGTGAATATGAAATGGGCAAGAAATATAAGCATTTATTTATTTCCATGCACAGAAAAATTGATGGACAATGTTATTTTCACCATTCTGCCAACATTTTGTTCAATATAAGCAATCATCCACAAACTAAGCAACTGAAAAGCATTTAACATGAAGGGCCCAGGACCTCACCCAGACCCTGGCTTTGGCAATTCTGCAGCCATAACAAGTGGCAAAAAAGACACTGCAGGATGTAGGCCCCCATCTCAACAGGATATACTGTGTCACAGACCTTGCCTAATTACTGAGAAAACCATAAGATAACCAGCATATGATAAAAAATGAATCAAAGGCTAGGCTAGCAGGCTCTGGACATGATTTATTGATAAGTGTGGAATGTAATAACCACAGCAATCACCACCAGATGTAGCAATTTTTCTGCCATTGGTTAACTTAAACTTAAGTTAAACTTAAACTTAAGTTAACCAATCAACTTAAGACAGCTACCCCCAGTCTGAGATTGCAAGTTCTGAGATTGTTACTATGCAACTTGCAGACCTTCTGACTTCTCTTGCTCTACTCCCAATAAATGCCCTGTCCTACTGTGACTAGAGGTCTCTCTCCTGCTCCACTACTGTGTCAGATGAATAAGAGACCAGAGTCTGAACTCATATTTAAAAAGACTATTTGCTTTTGCATCAGATCTGATCTCTTGGTGTCTCTGGGAGTCTGGACTCTGGGCACAACAAACACACTTACTCAATCACTACTTGTCTTATCTATGACATATAACTATTAAAAACTAATAAATCACTGGGTAGGACAAGTTACTTAATTTGTTGAAAATTAATCTAAGAAATAAGTACTATGTTTTTGTGGTAGGCTGAGAATAAAGATTTTCTTGTTTGAATTTTTTTCTTTTTTTTTTTTATTTTGAGACAGGAGCTCATGTTGCATCTCTTGCTAATCTCAAACTTACAATAATCCTACCTTCCAAATGTTGAAATATGGGCATGTGGACAAAATAAATAGCTTAAAAGAAAATAGGGGGAATGTGGGAGCAGAAAGGAGAGAAGAGAGAGAGGAGAGAGAGAGAGAGAGAGAGAGAGAGAGAGGAGGAAGGAAGGAAGGAAGGAAGGAAGGAAGGAAGGAAGGAAGGAAAGAAGGAAGGAAGGAAGAGAAATGTGGTTTTTAAGTTTGAGGGCATACTAGACCACATAGTAAAACCCAGGTTGAAATAAGAAAAAGAGGGGGGAGAGAAAGAGAGG